GAAACGCTGTACTGGGTGGGGTCCCGCATGCGACTGCAGCCACCGGGGCCTTCGGTGGAGTTCCCTATGAGACCACCAAACGCTGTACTGGGTGGGGAGACGCATACCGATGAGGGCAGAGGCAAGAAGGGGCAGGAGGGAGGAGGGAGGAGGGAGGAGGAGGAGGAGGAGAGGAGACGCGGGGCGCTGCCTCGTCAAAAGAGGACCCAAACACCACAGGATGGTTGGAAAAAAGAGCAGGATGTCGAGGCTTCCAGCTGCGATCCTGGCCAAGCACGGAACGGTACTGCAACTTGGCAGCCCGGCCGCGCGCGCCTCTTGATAGGTGGCTGCATCTGACGGGGCCCTGCGAACTCCCCCTCTGGACCGAGGAGGTGAAAACCAAACAATCCAAGGTCTCAGGCAAACTGGATGACCCAGGAGCAGGCCCAATGGGCAACGCTCCAGGGACCTGGGGGGGCGAACAAAACAGAGGCAGAGGGCCAGCGAGGGACTGATTGAACTTGACTCTGACGTGCCAACGAGGACGTGCCATCAGCATCATCATCAGCATCATCCTCATCATCATCATCATCATCATCATCATCATCAGCAGCAGCAGCATCAGCAGCATCATCAACATCAACATCAGCATCAGCATCATCATCTGCATCCATCAGCATCCTCACCATCATCATCAGCATCAGCATCTTCATAATCATTATCATCAGCAGCATCAGCATCATCATCATGAGCATCAGCAGCATCAGCATCAGCATAATCAGCATCAGCATCATCATCATGAGCATCAGCAGCAGCAGCAACAGCATCATCGTCATCATCAGCATCACCATCAGTATCATCACCATTACCAAACACAACAACAAAACAGCACCGACAGCATGAACAACAACATCTTCATCAGCAACAGCAGCACAACCATCAGGATAGTCGTCAACCTCGTCATCAGCATCGTCATCATCGTTAGCATCATCATTAGGTTCAGCATCATAATCATCAGCAGCAGCATTAGCAGCAACATCACCATGATGTTATGTTGTTCAAATTGCTACTCGTATTCTACCTCATCATCATCATCATCATCATCATCATCATCAGCAGCAGCAGCATCATCAACATCATCAACATCATCATCATCATCATCATCATCATCATCATCATCAGCATCAGCATCCACAGCAGCATCATCGTGAGCATAGTCATCATCAGCATCGTCGTCATCATCATCAGCATCATCATCATTATCAGCATCAGCTTCATCATCGTCATCGTAATCGTCATCCTCAGAAACCTCGTCGGCATCCTCACCAGACGAATCATCAGTCTCATCATGAGCATCATAACCATGGGCAGTAGCATATTCATGATCGTGATAGCCATCATCACTATCAGAAGCACGACCGTAATCATCGTAATCATCAGCACCATCATCATCAGCATCATCATCAGCAGCATCATAATCACCATCATCATTAGCGTCGCCGCAATCATCATTATCATCAGCATCGCCATCGAAATATCATCATCATAATCATTATCATCAGCATCATCATCACCACCACAATCATCATCACTGCGGCTCCGAATCGAAAGACACATCTGCATCGTCACCGGGTATGCACCTCACAACGGGCGCCTGGTTGAGGAGCGGCAGGTTTTCTTCAATGATCTGGAAGATGTTGCGCAAAAGACTAAAGTACACGGCCCTATTGTCGTCTGTGGTGATCTCAACAGCCGGATACATCGACGAGGCGTTGGGGAGCACGATGTCTTGGGACCATACGTCCACAGCAGCCCCGAAGCACAGATCGATGCCGCGAGCAATCGGGAGTTCCTGGTGGAAACATTCAAGTCTGTGAACATGGTCGTAGCGAATATCTTCCACGAGCACCCCGCGCACCAACAAGTCACGTACTAGGACATCTCTGCCCGCCCATTTGACGAAATTACGGCGAGCGAGTTTGCAGATATTGATCATTCTCTTGTGCATGAACGGTGGCGAGGAGTTATTCGCGCAGTCAGAAGCAGGCGGGACATAGCCTTACAGTCACATCACTTCGTTGTCATTGCAGACTTGGGCGTGCACATCCCGAAGAAGCTCCCAAGGAGTCCCAGGAGGCGCGGGACATCAGGAGTCTCGAGCAAGCTACAGTGGCGAATAAATTCTGTAACTGTTCTGTCGAGCTTGGACAAGACATGTTACGCGGCGCTGGAGATGGCTGCGTCGATGCACTGGCGGAGAAAGTGCGCTCCGACATGGAGGCTCGGATGCTGCCTTGCGCGTTCGCCCGGTCAGGGCAAAACGGCCTTGGACTTGAACGGCCACGCTGGACCTTCTCGAGCTGCGGAACACTGCGCGTGCAATGGGTAGAGTTCGAGCTCGAGGCCTCCCTGAACAAGCAGACCAAATCAGCGGTGAAGACGGACCGGGCAGCATGGCTGGAGGCAGACTTGGCGAACGGCGCCTGGCTCGCAATTGAGCGCCTGCGGAGGGGGTCTTCCCGCCAGCACCAGGGTGGACTTCGCAACTCGGCCGGCGACTTGGCGGATTCCAGCGAGAGGGCAGAAACCTTGGCGACATATTCGCAGGACGGTCCATGGCGACATAGCCCAGGTGCAGGCGTCGGCGTGCCAGAGGAGCCGCGGCTGGGGGCAACGCTTCACATACCCTGCGGAGAGTTTTTGTCAGCGGAGCTTGAATCAGTTCTCGCGAGGTTGCGGAGAGGCGGAGCGAGTGGGCCAAACAACGTGCCTGCCGCCTGATTTCTGGACCGCGTTGGGCCGGAATGCGGACGCCCTCGACCTATTGCTGCGGTTGTGCTACCAATGCTGGCATTCGAAATCGATTCCGCAGGACTGGTGTCGATTCTCCGTCACAACGCTTTTCAAGAAAGGTGACCCTGCGTTGCCTTCAAACTATCGTCCAACATCTCTACTTGCAGTCGGATGCAAGGGCTCGCGAGCCTCATACTGCAGCGGCTGCGATCTGGAGGGGTGGAGGGCCGGTTTCGCGACAACTAGTTTGGTTTTCGACGTGGCCGGGGCGCAGACCTGGCTATGCTCGCCGTGCAGCGGATGTTGGACGCCGCCCAGGATCTCAAGCATGGCGAACTGACAGTGTTTCTTCTTGATTGGTCCAAGGCCTTCGATCGCATCGACCCTGGAACCATGCAAGTGGCGCTGCACAGGTTTGGATTGCCGGAAGAGTACGTCGACATGGTCGCATCCATCAATCAGCACAGAACATTCACTGTGCGCGATTCGGAGAAGGAATCTGGTGTCCGAAAACAGTCTGCTGGAGTAGCCCAAGGTTTTCCACTTTCACCATACCTGTTCATTATAAGTTTGTCTGTCACCATTGAGAACGTGAGCTGGGGGCACGCGGGCAACAGGACAGACGACGTCGAGTACGCGGACGATCCAGCGTTGATCTGCCGGTCGTCCGACTGTCTGCAGGGCGCCCTCGACAGCCTGCTCTCGCGTGCCGCTCCGTATGGGTTGCTGCCGAACTGGGACAAGACTGTACGTTTGAAAGTTGGAGATCCGCCGCCCGTATACGATCCGAACGGCCATCCCATCCCGAAAGCAGGGCAGCAAATCTGTCCCGGCGGTCTGCTCACCACTGGCGGAAGTGCCAGGTGCGCCGTGGCAACTCATTCACGCTCCTTAAGAAGGTCTGGAGCCATTCGTCGTTGAGCTGAGCAAGGAAACAACGCATATACGAAGCATGCGCCGTAGCTTAATTGTCTCTACAGCTTGAAGACGGAACGATTGAACAAGGCAGAATTTTCTCGCATCAATTCGTTCCACGTGGGTTGCTTGCGGAAGATATGGGGCATCCCGCATCCGATGATATCCCAGGTGTCCAACCAGGACGTGCTGAAGACAGCGTCGTCCAGCCCGCTGGCAGACAAGTTAGTCGCCAAACAAATGTGCTTGTTTGAACGGGTGGCCATGATGCCCGATTCATGTGTTGCGCGACGTCCAGTTTTCCGACCTTCATCCACAATGTTGGCACGGCCGGAGGGAATTCGAAAACGAGGGCGCCCAAGGGTGTCGTGGGGCCAAAGAGGTAGGGCGCATGCACTGAGCGCCGCGCAGCAGGACGAGGACTGGCTAGCAACAACGCTAGCGAATTGTAGCGGCTCATTCCAGAACTGAAGGCCACTGTCAGGAAGCACTGCCGTTTTCTGTCATAGGGGCTTGCCTGCTTACCGTCCTCCCCCCCTCCCCCTACCCCCCTCGCGCGTGAGCTTAGCAGGCGAGCCACTATGAAAGCGCATGTACGGTTAACATACCATTTGCACTGCAGCCGATGTGCCGTCATGGCACGGCTTCTTCGTTCGCACTACCATCCTCATTATCATTGACACTATCATCATCGCCCTCGCCATTGTCATCATCGTCATCATCACCAGCATCATCATCATACTCATCAGCATAATCATCAGCATCATCATCACTTTCCTCAGCAGCATCATGATCATCACCACCACAATCTTCATCATCATCAGCAATACCCTCCTCATCATCCTTCTCACCCTCCTCATCACACTCCTGCTTCTAAATGTATCCTATAGTTTACCCTTGCCCTCTTCCTCCTCCTGCTGTTCCTCCTCGTCCTGCTCTTCGTCCTGGCCCTTGTCAGCACCAATGCAGCAAAGAGTCTGCTCGTCACGATCCTTGGACTTCTTCCACTTAGAGTCTGGTCTGGATTCGAACGGGTCGGGCGCCTGGCAACTCACACACTATATATATGCGAAAATATACAAAAACTCAGCTTGAAGCAGCACTGTGACACCTGAATCGAAACGCCCGTACGCCGTCCGCAGGTGGTGCTCGGGCGGCTGCAGCATTTAGAAGAAAGTCAGGCAGGGAGGAGAGCCTGCAGATACTGCGTCATGGCTGTGGACTGAAACTGCGACTGAGAGCAACTCCCCATCGTCTCGATCCTACCCATCTCCCGACCCCCCCCCGACGCTCCACCCCACGCCGCATGCCTGGCGTCGCCGGCGTGTGGCTGGCCATTGCGAGCGCCTGTGAAAGCATGGCGCCGCTAAGCCAGCTCAGCAGGGCTTCGCCGCCTGGGAGGGGGGGGCTTATGCAAAGCAGAGCTGTGGCGGTGGGTGAGGAGGGGTAACCCCGATATGCACGCGGGGTGCGCGTCCAGTCTCCACCCCTCGGGCCCCCTTCCCTCCCCGCTTTATCCGTCTCCCCACCCGTCCCCTTCCCAGACCCCCCCTCCTGGGTCTCCCTCCCGTCCTCGCCACTCCTCCCCCATCCCGCTCTGCTCCGTCTCCCCTGACTTGATACTTTCTCCTCCGAGCCCCCCCGCGCCCATCTTGAGACCAAGATCCAGCAAAAGAACAGTATGATCACTGGCGCCATCTCCTCAATGTATCGATGCCGAAGTAGGCGTCAGGGACGGCGGTCGAGCGCCGACTGACATAGTATCTGGCTGCAGAGGTGAGAGGGGCAGGCTCGAAGAGGGAGCACTGGAAGACCCAAAGTCCCCCGAGCCCCCACCCTCGCTGGCAAGCCCCTTCGCACGATGCCACAAGGCGATATGTTGCGCCTCGCTTTGCAAACTGACGTGGACGGCGATGACGACAGCGAGAGAGAACCTTTTTGCCCTTCACAGGTCTACTGACTGTCTGCTGTGGCGCTGCAGAGACTGAAGAGATCGGGAAGCCAAAAGAACGCCTGCACCTCCCCATAGCAGAAAGCATAGGAGACGGATAGAGGAGGACTTGTAAGGGGGAGAAGCTTGCGGGAGGCAAGATGGCTCGTTTGACCCCCCGAGATGCGCAATTCCGCCCCAATCCATCAAGGGAAGATGGTGGCCACGATGTCAGTGCCGTGCACCGGGTACAGCAGCAGGCTGGACTGGACGATATGCCTCCGTCACGGGCAGCCTCGCACGCGATGCGTTGTCTGATAATCCTCCTCTACCTCCTCCTCATCGATCATCACTCTCATGATCATGTTCATGACCATGGTGATGATGATGATGATCATCATCATCATCATCATCAACAACATCAACGTCATCGTCATCATCATCACCACCACCACCATGACCACCACCACCACCAAAACCATCATCATCATCATCATCATCATCATCATCATCATCATCAACAGCATCATCATCATCGTCATCACCATCACCAGGGTCGTGGACATCAGCATCATCATCAACACCATCCTCATCGTCAGCATTAGCATCACCATCACCACCACCACCATCACCATTACCATCATCATCCTCATCATCATCATCATCATCATCATCACCCATCACCCATCATCATCGTCGTCGACGTCGTCGGCGTCGGCGTGGGCGTCAAAGATTCATCATAATCAGCAGCATCATCATCACCATCGGTATCATCATCAACAACAGGAGCACCAACATCAGCAACAGCATCCGCTTCAGCATCAGCATCATCGTCGGCATCATCATCATCCATAGTCACCACCCACCATCATCACCCATCAGCATCATCATCATCGTCATCATCATCATCAGCATCATCATCGTCGTCGTCACCATCATCAGCATTGTAACCAATCATCCTCATTATCATCATCATCATCATCATCATCATCATCATCATCATCATCATCATCATCATCATCATCAACAGCATCATCATCATCGTCAGCATCATCATCAGCAGTAGCATCAGCAGTAGCATCAGCATCAGCATCATCATCATCAGCATCATCACCGTCGTCGCCATTCTCATCATCATCATCATCCTCAGCAGCAACAACATCGTCATCAGTATCAACAGCAGCAGCATCGTCGGCATCGTCATCGTCATCGTAATTCGCATCATCCTCCGCAGCATCAGCATCAACATCATCATCATCATCATCATCATCATCATCATCATCATCATCATCATCATCATCAGTATCATCTTCATCAGCAACATCGTCATCGTCATCACCAGCATCGTCAACATCGACATAGACCTCCACCACATCATCATCATCATCATCATCATCATCATCAACATCATCATTACAATGGCCATCAGCGTCAACCCGGTCACCATCACAAGCAACATTATCATCACCACAAACATCGTAACCAACATCATCAACATCATCAGCATCAACATCAACACCACCACCACCACCACCATCATCATCATCATCATCATCATCATCGTCGTCGTCGTCGTCATCATCATCATCATCATCATCATCATCATCATCATCATCATCATCATCATCATCATCATCATCATCATCATCATCATCGTCAGCATCATATTCACCATCACCGTCATCAGCAGCAGCATCAGCAGCGTCATAGTCATTATCAGATTCATCACCATCTGCAGCAGCATCGTCATCAGCGTCATAATCAGCATGATCCTCATCATAGTCGTCATCATCATCATGATTATCATCATCATCAGAATCATCAGCATCGTTCGCAACAAGATCATCATCCTCACCACCACCATCATCATCATCATCATCATCACCATCATCACCATCACCACCACCATCATAATCATCACCTTCATAATCATCACCATCATCATCAGCATCAGATTCATCTTCATCTTCATGTTCATCATCATCATCACCATCATCATCAACATCATAGTCATTTTCATCTTCATATTCATCATCATCATCATCATCAGCATCAGCATCAGCATCAGCATCATCATCATCATCATCATCATCATCATCATCATCATCATCATCATCATCATCATCATCATCATCATCATCATCATCATCATCATCATCCGAGTCCTCATCCTCCTCATCCTTCTCCTCCCGCGAGAGCCCGCTTCCTCCTCCTCCTCCTCCACCTCCTCGCTCTCCTCCGTCGCCAGTTTGGCGCAAGCTGACGCTCTGAGCCAACCTCTCGAGCCGGCCCCCGCGGCCGTTAGGCAAGCGACCATCCCAATTTGACCGCCCCGCCCGCGCCGCCGCAGCCAGGTCTGGCACGGCTGCCGGACCCGACTCGCCTGCTGCTGCCCGCCGCCGTCACGAGCAGCAGTGCCGCGCACCGCCGCCCGCCACGTGCCGTGGCTGCTGTCGCTGCGCCAGGGCAGCGCCACGCACCGCACCTCCGCCCCGGGCAGTGGTGGCGGGCCTCGCAGGTCTCGGAGTTGCGGCGCAAGCTCCACGCGATGAAACAGGAAGTGAGAGCTCCGAATGCTGCTCGCGTCCGCTGGGAACTTGAGCTTCTCGGCAACTGTGCACAGTCTCGGGGGAGATCCTGAGCCCCCGTGTGGCTGCTGGCGCTCCTGGCTACTCCCGTGCGGCTCGCGAAAGCCGAGTCTCAAGTAGTGGGCCCTCCTTTGAGGACGCTAACGACAAAAGCAAGGTCATCGGGAACGGCAAGGGCAAGGCCAAGGTGGCCTTTTGTTCATCCCCAGGAACCCTCCTGCTGCTCCTCGTGCTGTCGATGCTGCACTCGCTCCTAATGGTTCTGCATCTGTCCGTAGCCGCGGAGTAGCTCCCTGTGCAGGCGCTGCAGGCCAGGCGGGAACTGCACCGCATCCTGGAGCTCTTCCTGGCGCTGCTGCCGCCTCCTGTCCCAGTTGGGACGCCTGGGCTGAGGCAACGCATGAGCAGAGAGTCGATGTTCGGCTTGTCAATCTGGAGGAGTTCTTCATGCAGAGCCGCACGCAGCAGACACCGCAGCAGGCCATGCCGAACCCCCAAGAGAATAGTGCTGGCACTCAAGAAGCAGCCTTGCACATGAGACTTGTGAATTTTGCCACTGGAACCTAGATTGGTCTCCTCTCCTTCCGCCTTGCCTCGCTGCTGCCGCCGCCATGGGGGAGGCGCGGAGGGTGAGGTGAGAGATGAACGAAGGCTAGTAGTAATCCTTGAAGCCGCCTGCGGCTGACCACAGCAAGCATTTCCCCTCCCCGCCTTGTCTCAATTTCCACACCTAACGAGAAGATTAATCAATCATCCTACTTCCTCGTCCTCCTCCTCCTCCTCCTCCTCCTCCATCCTTTCTCCTTCCTTCCTTCCTCCTCCTCCTCCTCCTTCCTCCTCCCTCCTCCCTCCTCCCTCCTCCCTCCTGCCCCCCATCCCTGCCTCCCTCCTCCCCGCGACGAGCCCGACGACGGCGAGCGCGTGCGCCAGCCGCGGCGACGGCACGGAGCTCGGCAGCCACGCGCCTCGGGCGGCCCAAAATCCGAAGACGGCTCCTGCGAGGCGGGGATTCGTCCACATCCACCGCCTGGGAACCGACGTCCTGGTTATGGACGCCCGAGATGGGCACGGAAAGAATGGGCACTATGTCCAAACAGCAGTTCCTGTTCATTCTGAACAGGATTCGCTGTCCACGCCGCCGCGGCCTGTGTCAATTCGAGACAGAAGGCCGCCTGCCCAACAGCGGCCGCTGTTGGTTTGGGACAACATTTGTTGTTGGGCATTGTACTCATTCTTTCGGTGTACCCATTTCGGGTGTCCAACCCTGGTGCCCCAGCGGGCGGTGGGCATGGCCAGATTGCAGCCCCCGGGGGCCCGAAGATGTCCGTATCCACCGCCTGCCGAGGTCCCCGAAAACTGCTCCTCCAGGCGGTGGTCATGTATAAATGTCCGCCTCGGACTTACGTCGGCCGCGCTCAAGCCATCCAGGCTCCGAAATCCATCCCCGCGCAGCTTCTCACGCAAATCCCTCCCTGAACTGGAGCGGCCAGGCCTGGGCGGTTTCCGGCCCCCCCGGGTCCCTCAACGGGCCCCGCGACCGTCAGAAAAGGACTCGGCACGAACAACTGGCCCTGGGGAAGGTTCGAAAAAATTGGAGCGCAGGATGTCTGGGGTGTAGCCTTCGTCGCACTGGCTGGTTTACCTACCCGGGTGGGGATGTGTGCCTGTTCCTTCGCGTGGAGCGGAGCGTGTCCCCACCTTGGCGGGGGGCCGGTGGGGCTGAGGTACCCTGGCCCGCGGGTATGGGGATGGGTTTAGGCGATGCCGATCGGCGGCGCGCCGGGGGGGAAAAAGAGACGAGGAGGCGGGCCTTCTCAGAGGGCGGCGGGACTCCCCGGCAGCCCTGCTGCCTCCTGAGAAATCCTCTGCGGTTTCG